GGTTACATTAACCTCGGGTTAGGCCTAACCGGAGGTTAAATTTCTTAACCGCAGGTTTGTTAACTTGGGGTCAGAATTGCATGGTTCGAAGCGTGCTCAGAGAGGACCGGTTAGTTAACCTCGCGTTACCGCGACTAACTCGTAGTTAGCATCCCATAATACCTCCTGGTTTGTTTACGCCCTAAAACTGCGTAGACGGAGGATCCCAGAAAAGAATAATTCCAGCGCCTCAGTTGCTATTTTAACCGAGAACATGGAATAAAACTTGCACGTTTCGCAAAGTAAGTTGACAAAAAGTGTGACAAACCAAAGGCAAAAAAATTGGATACCAATTATAACAGTGATACAACACTGTAGCAGTGGAGAAGAGATAAGTGGTGAAGTCCAAGGGAAGTGAAAGAATCTTCATTTCAGGTGCAAAGTTTATCAAATTCACAAACGTTCGAAAAGAAACAAAAATAACTGGAGGAGGATTGACCATCTTAAAAACCTGTAGCGAACTCTCAGTTCGTTCTATAGCCAATTTTTATCGGACGTTTCGTCTTTACGAGTGAAAGCCTCTCATTATTCAAGGGTATTGTCTCCAAGTTTCATCTTCGCGTAAAAAGTAGTAACTAACAATGCAGTTGAAATGTACAAAAGTGCTAGCTATTGTTGTGCACGAAAATATGGAGACAATACCATTGAATAATGAGAGGCTCTCACTTGTAAAGACAAATTTTCTGAAAAAATATTAGCGAATTATACCCCTTATTTTACTGCTGCGTTACAATATATCAATAATCTTGAAACTAAAAGGTCATATAAAATGACGGTTAATCTCTGAAGAATCTTTAAAAAAATCTATAAAAGCTTACAAAGCGGTTTAAAAATTGTTCGCTAATATGTTAACTGAGTAGACCGAAACTTTTACAAAACCGCTAGCAAGAGCGCATCGATACATACTAATCAAATCCTAACTTTCTAACAGTCGGCTGGAGCTTTCTCAGTGAACTTCCACACACGTTTTTAAAACAATTGAAACTGCTAATGAGGTGAAATTGCATGTCAAAAACCCTTCGTTTTCTAAAGATAATAGCCGAACATTAAGATTGTCCATTTTTACCGTATTTCTTACTATAAAAACTTTATCCCAAAATACCTCGATAACGCTCTTACAGATTCCCCTTAAATTTCGCGAAAAAAGCTCCAGTGAACGATTTTGGAAGAACAGATCCCACTGCCGAGAAATGCTGTTGCAAGTAAAATAGGTGATGGCGTCGTTTTGTTGTTATGGCAACGTCGATGTCATTACAACCCCCATCATAACAAATTTCCATCTTTATCTGATACAACCTAAGGTTAGTTATTTAACCACCTAGCTAGCAAGGTTAAATTTAACCCGCTGTTTAACCCGAGGTTTGAGCTAACCGGTGTTTGAGCAACACAACAAACCTACGATTTAAATTTATCACGCGGTTAGGATTTAACCCGCTTTCGAAAATCCGGGCCCATTGGTGCCCACTGTGTCAAATGCTTGATATTACTTCTCAAACAAAATGATTTAAGAAGAAAAAATTGAACGTGTGTCTCAAGATACTAAAACTGAAATACAACTCATTTTTCGTTTTCTTGATATCTGCACAAAACATCATCCCACAAGGTTAGCCAGTGAATTAAAGATGAAAAGTAAGAGAAGACATTGAGATCAAACAGAGAAACGGGCTTTAAACAGGCAGGGGCTTTGTTCTCTCTAAGGTTTTTAAATAATATTTTGTCATTCGGCCACACTAAGATCCAGAGGTGTTAGGTACAACATTAAAAATATTGTTAAAAAGTTGTAGAAAATTAATTGCTTATAAGTAAGCAACGTGAATACGATATTGTTAAATAATTGGTATAATTATTCATTCAAAATATTTCCCCGATTCTGATTGGCTTAAAGCACACGCATAATTCACCATAACCAGTTACTGATGACCAAATTTGGAAGAATTCTGTGTTTAACGTGGAAATGACGTCAAAAATGCAGCGGTCTTGAGGTTAATGCACCGTTAACCGAGCAGACCTGGGGAGGCGGTTGAGTTGTTTTGGTTGTGAAAACAAAAAATGGCGGACGTTTCACTCGTTTCAAGAGTAAGTACTAGGCGAAATTATAGCTAAAAATATTGCAAGAACAGCGAGAACACAACTCGAAGGGGGACATCCGCTATTTGGAGAATATTTGGGGAGCTGAACAACCCTATAAACGTGCACTATCGAAGGTGAACTTAACATCGATGGAGGTTTTAGCTTTGCTTTTAAATTAGAAATTATTTTGAATGAATAATAAAACAATTATTGAATTCGGTTTTCGTATCATATGAAGAATTATGGAGATCTCGGAGGGTTTTATCCCCCTCGGCCTA